TTCAGGTGTGTTTGATTAGGGTTGGAGCTAAAATCTGCAGGACACCGGCCCTCCAGGAACAAGTTTGGTGACCACTGTTGTATACTGTAAACTCGCAGGGCCCTATCATACACCCGGTGCAAAAAGGTGCAAGATGGGTTTTGTGGCTATTTTCAGAACAGGGCAACCCTAATTTTCCCGTTTTGTGCGACATTGTTTAAATAGCAAATCTATCTATTTGTGGATTCTTGTATCTTCTGGTCTAGAAAGGAGGTGTGTTAAGGTGCATTGTTGGCACGTTGCTATTTTGTGGAACTAAAATGGACCGTGCAATAGACCAGCTGAAAGCAGGTCTAAAGCCCAGCACAGAGCGCAATGAGCAAGTTGTGCGTCTCGCTAACACATTGCACAATACACACAAGATCTACAGAAATATGCAAAATATCTTTACAATTAAAAATAATTAAAGGATTAAAATATTACAAACATAATTATTTTCTAAATAAATTAAAAAACCACTACCTCCATGCCCACTTCCTCTCGGGGGGGCCTTTTCAGTTAATTCACGACAACTCTTTTGTATAATGTTATTATTATTAGCAGTATTATTTATTATATGTATATTTATTTTATTCAAAACAAGCTTAGATTCATCCATCTGTCAGGTTTTGGATCATATGAGGCATAGGACGCATGTTTGGATATAATTTGCATGTTGTTTGACCACACTTTGTTATTATTGCTATTATTGTTCATTTATCCGTTTGGTGGAAATTATACTTTAGTAATAGTTTTGAAACAAATCTTTGGACTTAACAAACAAAATTAAATATGTAGGCTAATGGATGTCTTCAGTGGAGAGCGTACAACACCGTTTTCCTTATTCACTAAAGAGAGAAAGATAAAGTAAAGAGGCTGGATGGAAGAGGCTCGTTCTTTATCCTCGCGCTGCAGATGGTCTTTTCAACTGTTTTCTCCCTAGTGAAGCGTTTAGTTTTTCCACTTACAAAGTTGCCATGTAAATAGCAAATGCACCATGGCGTGATGCATTTGACTTTTAAAGGTAATGGGAGATAAAACTCTGATTGGTTTATTCTCAAAATACACCCATAACTCATTAAGAGAATAAGCACAACCCTGTTAGACCATGCGCCGCAGCGTAAACCCATACTTAAAATAGCAAAATTGGATTCGGACGCGCCCTAAATGCTTTTCACCCTGTGCTTTAGACTTTGCGCCTAGATCGTTAAAATACAACCCACAGACTTTTTTGGTCACATCCATAACGCATCTTTATTTTCCTCATTTAAAGTACAAAACATGTTTACAGACTGTTTTTTTTTCTTGTCCCTTAACTCTATGGTCAGTTTTTCTGGAAAATATAAACAAAAGTTTCAATATAATGTTAACATATACTTTCTATGTGAATTTATATTTTAAGTTTTTACTGCAAACATCATATCCAAAACGCTGGAATTGCTCCCATGTAAAATATTTTTTTTGTAAGAAGTATTTATCATGCTGTTTTGCAAGAAAAATTTCAGATGCAAGACAAGTCTGACAATAAAGTTGATTATTTAAGGTGAGCCGATAAGCATTTATACTGAGACTAATCTAAATAATATGAATGTAAACATGTATACTAAATCTGCAGTATTGAACTGTATTTTGTGCAGGATTAATAAAATGCATTTAATAATCTAGTACACTATGAATCTATCGGATTAATGAATCAAAATGTCCTGCTGACAAATGAGTAAAACCCACTTGTTTGAAGGTTAGGGGCAAAGTGGGAAGATGTGATGCTTAAATAGCGTCTACCGATACATTAAGTGATCATTGTTCTAGATCAGGGGTGCCCAAACTGTTTCATATGAAGAGCCAAAAACCAAATATCAAATATCATGAATATACCAAACTATATTAAATCAAGGTGACGCAGTGGCGCAGTAGGTAGTGCTGCCACCTCACAGCAAGAAAGTCACTGGTTCGAGCCTTGGCTGGGTCAGTCGGCATTTCTGTGTGGAGTTTGCATGTTCTCCCTGCATTCGCGTGGGTTTCCTCTGGATGCTCCGGTTTCCCCCACAGTCCAAAGACATGCGCTAGAGGCAAATTGGGTAAGCTAAATTGTCTGTAGTGTATGAGTGTGAATGAGTGTTTGTGTGGATGTTTCCCAGAGATGTGTTGCAGCTGGAAGGGCATCCGCTGCCTAAAAATATGCTGGATAAGTTGGCAGTTCATTCCACTGTGGCGACCCCGAATTAATGAAGGGACTAAGCCGACAAGAAAATGAATGAATATTACATCAAATTTGTCATGGGTAATTTCCAAAATATTTTCAGATTATTTCAAAATATAAAATAAATAGAAAAACATTACTAAAAATTATTAAAACATCATAGCTTTTTTTTTGTGATAATATATTGCAATAAAACAATCACATTTATTACAGTGGAGTTCAAAGCTGAATACACTAGTCAAGCAGAATCTGCCTTTGACTTGATTTGCTCACTAAAGTCTCTGCATTGTGGTGTGACAATTCGTACATTTAAACAAAACCTTATTCATTTACACCATTTAATGTCAGTTAGCTTTTAACAACAAAACAAACAAACAAAATTTAATTGCCAACGTTGAAACCATCCCTATCATTCTCCCTCTCTTCTTATATGGGATGGCAGGCCAAATTAAAGGTTGCCATGAGCCAACTTTGGCCCGCAGGCCCTAGTTTGGCCATCTTTGCTCTAGATAATATAATTTACAAAAAATGTATTTTTAAGATTTAAATGCAACTTTTAGCACATATAATACAACTACTGTTGATCTATTCTGTAAATTATGGTTAAAAATATTGAATGCTTTTGTTGTCACATATTATTTTTTGCTCAGGAAAACAGTAGGACACGAATGTTTCTTTAAATACTATTACTTAGTATACAGCATGTATATATATATATATATATATATATATATATATATATATATATATATATATATATATATATAGACAAAAACAGCAAGCCAATGACTATTTCTTAATGAAACACATCTAAGAATTAATACTAGATTCTGTCAGTGGTTTTCACAGACGTGTCCCTACTTTTTGTCAATAATGTCAAGACTTTTTATAAAACATGCATCTAATGTTTCAGTTATATAGAAATAATTGAATAGTATGTACTTGTGGCTTTCTCATATTTTAAGCATGAAATGCATGCTTTACAGATCTTTATAATTCAAATAGTCAACAAGTGCACTCCATCAGGAATATTACTGTCATCACAAGTACTGCACTGATGCAGATGAGGAAATCAAACTGATTGAAGACAGTACACCCTAAAGTCAAGAGATACTAGTCCAGCGCTAGTCGTACCGTTCTCGGTGCACACAGGCAGCAACATTTAGCGGGCTTTATGCGAGTTGTTTACCTTGTGGCGAGCAGTTGGCGGCGCTCTTCGGATTTTGCCAGAGCTTGTGGAGCGCACCGCGGTCTCCTGCGAAAGCCACCCCGCTGTATGGCGGTCGTCAGGCGGCGCTCTTCACTTTTCCCCGCAGGTCTAAGAGCGCTGAAAGGAGGCCTTCTTTCCTCAACCGTTTCCGAGCTTCACCGCGCGCGCTGCAGTTGGGCAATCCCTCGTGCAGCGCTCGTCGGTCCCGCTGAAGCTTTCCCGTGTTCACAACGCGTTTCTAACCGCAACGGACCGGTATTGTGTAGCGCGACGCACTGTTTGTTGAGTATTTTGGCGTAAACACGATCGTGGATGTGGAAATGTGCCGTTTGTCTGGCCTCTGTTCCTTGCTCTGTGTTAGTAGCCCCGCCCCATGGGGGTTCGCGTGCGGCTCGAGCCAGGCGGTGATTGGACAGAAAACTGTCTGTCAAACTCAGGCAGTCGAGATGGAGACTGGTGTTTCGGATGCTAGAGTGCTTGTTTACAGTTTTGGCAATTTAATCATCAATAAATATCATACGACCATTCATCTGCAGCCAAGTTTGACGTTCATTTGACTGGATTATTGCTTTTCATGTCAGTTGTGATGCAGTGATTTTCAATAATTCACCTTTTGAGATTAAATGGAAATTATTTTGTGATTAAAAAAACTGTGATCAGTTTAAAATAAGTGATGAACGTTATACATTTGCTTTCAGTTTATATGGCCTGTTAAATAGGTCATATTTAAGAAATGTGTTAGAAATGTATTGTAATTGTAAATACAATTTACTACAGGGGTTTTCATACAGGTCAAGAGCCACTAAGGAGGTCTGCGGAAATCTTTGGAGAATAAACCTAAATAAATGTAAAATAATTTGTAAAAATTATCATGATAAAAAATGAAACTTTAGTTAAATGTATTACAGAAGAACTGTAAAAATAAATAAATTGAACATCGAGAAACATGTTTAAACATACAGTTAAATAAAAATGGCATTGTAATATTCTAATATCAGTAATTCTAAAAATAATTTTCTATCAAACAAGTATCCAATATTTGTTTAAATCATCAAATAATAGCTACATTTGATAATATATTGATTATAAACCATGTCTTAAATGTAAATAAATAAATACAGAGCTATACTAGACAACCAACTAGACACATTGTATACTGTGAATTTGAGATAGATAGATAGATAGATAGATAGATAGATAGATAGATAGATAGATAGATAGATAGATAGATAGACAGATAGATAGATAGATAGATAGATAGATAGATAGATAGATAGATAGATAGATAGATAGATAGATAGATAGATAGATAGATAGATAGAAATAAAGAGGCCTGCTATCATCTCTGACTCACATTTGGGTGTAAATGTCAAATAAGATATTGAAAACCCCTTGTTTAATTGAACTTTTCGCACAATGCTATTGCAGAATATTGTAGGTTCTTGTCATGAAAAATTGAAAACCTGGACTTTCTTATGCTGCAGGATCTGTGCACGTGAGGGCATTGTTGAACTTCATTGCCCAGAAGACAATGCGCACAGAGCGTCACTGTGCGTCAGCTCCAGTTGCCCAGCCACAGAAGAAAGAGGAGGCGCAGAATCCTAACGAGACTTCAGCTATCTTTATTTTTTTAACGATTATTGTTGTTTAAATTGACATATCTACCACGCGCCTGGGCCAGTCTACCGGCACACTTTACCCCCGCTCTGGCACATTTGCAACCCGAAATGAGCGGCAGCGGGCGGCCCAGGACTAGCTCGTTTGCTGAGCCTCCGGGGGTTCCGGGAGCCGCTGCAGCCGCCGCCGGATCAGCCGTCGCCGGTGGAAGCTCATCAGGAAAGACGGGGGGCGCGCAGGCCTCAGGCGGGAGTTCGTCTGGTTTCGGAAACCTAAAGCTGGGCAGTGAGTATCATTCAATGACATCACACGACAATCCCAGTAAATGTGATATTAGGAAACTAATACGACCCCAAATGCTGGATCGGGCTGCGTGCTATTCATTAATTTGCCTGGTTATTTTGCCACGATCGCGTTAACCTACTTTAGGCGGCTAACTGGCTAAGCTAACGTGAGCTTGTTTTTGTAGACGGATCAAGGGCTTTGATTGCGCTAACTACACTAGCTCGACAATCCTTCACCAGAGCAAGAACTAAACACATCTGCAATAAACGATACAAGTGCATAATATTTTCCCTCAATTTGAGCCCTGCTTTAAATGGAATCCGGGGTTTATTGGATGTTCAGACGTCGGCTGTATTCCTCAAGCTGTGCTCGTTGGGTAACAAAGCTCACTTAGCCCAGCCGGCATCATCTAACTCATTGTATCATTTAGTTTTGCATTTAATTTAAATATTTTCACTCAGTTTGACACCGAATACGTTTAGTCGTATTGTAAATATGCGTATCGTTAGCGATTAATGTGACCTAAAAAACAAGCAAGGTAAACCCATCGAGAGAGCACCAAAATGGTGTGCCCTTATCCATATATAACTAAATATCAAAACGTCGGAATAATATTTAGAACATATGATTAACTCAATGTTAGGTAACCTCCTAACTCTCATGTTAAGAAATCAAAAAGTCAAACACACTGCACCATATGAAGGAAAAATGACCACTGGTAAAATTATGGTTGGGCTACTCCTGTGAAAAATAGTGGTTTCCCTAGAGGCATAAAGCTCTTCATTTGTTGTTCTCTATAAATGATTCCCAGTGACTGCAGTGCTGGCAGCAGTGTTGATCTGCACTGGTGCTGCTGACTGCTGGGTTTCCGTGAGCAGTGATGATGGCTGTTTTTACCAGGAATGAGGGGAGATCAAGTGGGTGGATGTACGACTGTAACCCACGATCCTCTGAGAAACCTTGAACCATTACATACAACAAACAACACCCATTGCTGTTTTTATGTCGTTTTTTTTCTCAGCTTAGCAACCTGTTTTTATTGATAGTGGTAAAGTTGGTTTTATATTCGGATATTCAGACATTCTCCTTAATAATATAATTTCAGAAAAATATTCTTTGCAAATTTTAAATAGGGAAATCATATTAGCAGCAAATGACTATGGTTATTGTTGTTTAGAAGTCATACTTGCAGGCTAATTCCGTTTGAATATTCAAATAAACACAGTTAACAATATAGAGACGGCTAAATAAACGAATATGTGAATATAAAACAAACTTTAACTGTAGTTTTTATTGCTATGATATTTGCACTATGCAAAAAAACATTAATTCATTTAGGTACATTTTTGTGTGGAGTAAATTTTTAAGCTCATTTATTTGTTTAGCAAAAGTTTATATTCTGATTAAGATTCATATGCACACTTTTGCTGTAAGCAATGGTAGGATAATTTAGTGCATCACTAATGGCTAAAACATTACTTGCAGCAAGTCTTTGCAGCAGTTTGCTTTGTGATCAACTTTATTTTCCTCCGATTTAATTGGTTTGTCCTCATTAATAAAACTGCACCCACTTGTCACTTACTAGAGCCTGAAAGTTCATTAAGATTGATCAGACCCTTTTTGTGTGATTAATCATGATTATTTTAAGTTTAGCTTCATTAGCTTAAAATGTTGCTAAAATCACTTATTTTGACACAATTTACTATAAATTGCAAAACAAAACAATGAAAAATTTTATCAGTGAAGAGTTATTTTCACAGAACTATTTTCTGCAAGCTTGCCAGGTTTATTCAAATTCGTGTATTTCAATAAAAAAACACTTTGAGTGTCTCGAAGGACACATATTAACAAAGTGATACAAGGAGTCTATATTATTCATACATGCATCCACACCAAGGCAGGAATGTATGCAGTAGGGCTGTGTGATTAATCAAAATCGAATTACAATTGCAATTTGAAACCTTGTGAGTTAGCTAATCGTAAGAGGCTGCAATATGAAATATATATATATGTATGTATTATATCTTTTCCCCCTGTCAGAGCGAATGCATGGCTGCCGTCTGTGTGTGACAGTCTTACTAGCCAAATTGAGTGAGGACACTTTCGTTCTGCCCAATCGGAAATACGCAAGCGAACTATGCAATGAGCCCACAATAAAACAAACAAAAAGGAAAGCGGTAACGGGTGAGATGATTGGCATTTGCCGCTTTAGAAACATTAGTAGGTGAATTAAAATAAAAAGAAAAGCAGCACATAGCTAATATGGAAATATTTTGGTTTCAAAGTCATTGACACCAAGTAAAAACGGGTAATTTGTAAAGAGCTGTCGCAAAATTGTTACTACAGCATGAGGACATACAACAACAAGCATCACAGGTGGCTATATGAGGAGTGTCTTGCTAAAAATGTCAACTATAAGTATTGCCATTGACACTTAATCTAGTGGCTAGCAACAGCAAAGTACAATTTCAGAGTTGTTTGCAGAGTTGTATGGTTACACCCTATGAAAAAACATCACGATGACGCCCTAACTTACTACTGTTTCATTTCTGAATATTTAAAAAAATTTATAATAAAAAATATTTTCAGCTCCTTTTCCTTTTAAAATAACACTGCATTTTAGCAGTAAGAAGCTTCGATATAGAATTTTGAGCTGAAGCTTGACTAAAATTAAATTGAAAATCAAATCGAAAATGCAATATCGGTTAAAAAAAAATCACAATTAGATATTTTTCCTAAATCGTACAGCCCTAGTATACAGTACAATGACAATGTAGTTGTATAAAACAGTGTTTTTCTCTAGGATTTTTTTTCCAGCTGTGGCGGCAGGTCTTTTACACAAATCTACCAACTACCTATGGCGCTATTTCAGTGACAAATGGAGAAATGTGGCGAGCGCAGTATTACATGTTGGGATCGCGTTTATATAATGTTAATATGAGCATACCAGTCTTTGCTTGCATGCCGATTTCCTCTGCTCGTGCACAAAACTTCTTGCACGCCCTCAAACACGCTGCTCAAGCGCAGATCTTCTTGTGCGCTCTCAAATAAACACTGCTGAAGTGCGATTTAGTACACTTATTTTGTGTGTATGTTCCCAACATTTATTAGATTTGCTAGGAATATTTATGAATGTCTCCAATGGACCTACAGATTGGCATTAATGCGTCCTGGAGTAAAATAAAATGGCAATAAACTTCAGCAAGATAACGTTAAAGGCTTTGTATGCAGAATCACAGACCTTTAACTATAAATAAAGTATAATTATGGAAACTGAAAGCTACAATACCTTTCATCTTAACTGAATGCATTGCGCATCTGTCAGTAAGTCAGTCAGTCAGTCAGTCTGTCAGCACGTCACCTTAAAGTGTTAAACAAATAGCGCACAGCCCTACTACGTAACAGAAAAGTTTGCGCTGTTATAATTCACTTACCTTTTCATGCGTTTTGGTGCGATTATAACCTGCTATTAGAAACAACAACAATGAATGAATGTTTTGAATTAATAAGAAGCTGTAATATAGCCGTGGCGGGATGGATTTTGGGGTGGCGCCCCGCCATGGAAGAATGAATGTATCGAAAACCATGCAAAAGGAAGAAAGAAAACAGCCACCTAGATCTGACTACATGCATACTACAATACACAGATCCATTCTGAAGTGCTAAACCCAACAACATACACAACAAATCCAAACATTATCATCAATGCATGTGGAAACAAAGTGCGTTAAGGGTGTAATGGTGTGCAAAATTCACAGTTCAGGACGTTTCTCGGGTTTTTAGTTGTGGTTCAATATCAGTACAGTTGGGGAGAAGAAATGCAAAATTTAAATCCTTGAGCTTTGTGATGCTGCTGAAAAATTTAATAGACATTTAATGATAAGTAATGCGATAAGTCTGTATGCATTGCTTTAAAAAGTAAGCAACAAGTTCCATGTTTTGTTTTGTTTTTTTCAGGGAAAAAAAGCATTGCTACAATTTCTAAAGGCGAACAGATATCTTTTAGTGTTGCATACAACAAATTAGACATTTTAACTGCAAACAAACAATAATAATTTTAGATTTGATTTTATGTTTTTATTAACCTTAAAACATTAAGAACAATCAGGACTACAGCAAAACTGTCTTACTGATTTTAATATGGCTTGATTGATTGGTCATGTAGTATTTCAGCGTACATGCTTATATCGTTATAGATTTGTTGGATGAAAAATAAATGAACATGTCCACTCTGCTTGGACTCAGAGATGCGCTACATTGCCTGAAGTGATAAACAGTCTTTCAGAGAGTGTGATAATAGCACACTCACACAGATACTTTTGTATTAAAGGGATAGTTCACCCAAAAATGCAAATTAACTCAACCTTTATTCACCCACATGTTTTTTCCAACCTTTGAGTTACTTTTTTCTGTTGAAAACTAAAAAAGATACTATAAAGAATGCTGAAAACCTGTAACCATTTACTTGCATAGTAGAAAAAACAAATACTATGGATGACAGTGGTTACTGGAATCCGGTTTTCTTCAAAATATAATCTTTTGGGTATGAAACAAATAAAGGATGAGAAAATGAGGACCAAATTGTCATTTTTGGGTAAGCTATCCCCTAATCACTAATTTATTGGAAACCATCATGGTATACACATTCAGTATTTCAATTTGTGCAGCACAAACATTTGTGCACATTGACTGTTTCAGTTAGTTAAATATATAGAAATAAAAAGCAAAACTGTCTTCGGCAAGTATAAAACAATATGTACAGTTCAAGTCAGAATTATAAGCCCTTCTGTTTATTTCCCCCCTAATTTCTGTTTAGCAGAGAGAAGATATTTCTTTTCAATTTCTAAGCACAATAGTTTTAGTAACTCATTAACTGATTTATTTTATCCTTGCCATGATGACAGTAAATGATATTTACTACATATTTTTCACGACACTTATCCAGCTCAAAGTCACATTTAAAGGCTTAACTAGGTTAATTAGGTTAACTAGGCAGGTTT